TCTAATTCTTAGACATTGGATTATTTTTGAACTGCCAACTGAATCAAACAGTAAATTTTCCTTACTATAAGCCTAGCTAAAAAAAAAATAAAAATAAAAATAAAAAAGGGTTCTATATTCCCCATAAGGATAGGCATGATACCCAACCATGCCCCTGGTGTGAAAGCGAAACCCAAGAAGTTGTTGGTGTGGAGACGATCACTCTGTCAGTCTGTAGTTAGCGAGAACCCACACAGTGTACGGACCGAGGGCACAAAGAAGAAAACTCTTCTCCTTCCGTTCACACTGGGCTGCAGTGACCCTCAGTTGTATTTCTTGTTCTTCATACCTTGCCTGTCTCCTCTCTGAGGCTCAGGCCAGAATATGCGGCTTTATGTGACTGCTGAGTGCCGGAGCAGTGGCTCACAGACAGAGCTTTGCTCAGGAATAACCCAGGTGTCTGTCTGCACATGCTGCCTCCCTCTCCTGAACCAGCCCAGATGCCCATCTCAGCTCTTCTTTGAGTTCAGGTAAAAACACTGGCAATGGAAATCCAGACAAGCTGAGTAACCTGCCCAAGGTCACACCGTTTTCAGTAATAAACTTAGATTAAAATCCAAGATGGCCAGCCACAGTAACCCGAGCTTATGACATTGACCGCCAGGCTGTTGCTACCTTTCAATGAGGTCGCTGTGAGCTGTAAGGCTAGGGAATTTTCTAATCAGATTAATAATAAGCCACTTTACTAAGAAAAATAATCTGTGCAGAGGAAAGCCAGGTATTTGCATGATAAAAAGAGAACAGGAGTTAGAGCAGAAGACTAGGTGTTCATAATAATGCTGATACTAATGAGGTTTGTAATTGGAGCATCAATTAACCCCACTGAAGGTTGGCTGCATCATATTTAAATGAGGTTAACAATATTGACCTCATGAGTCTTATGAAAATCAGAGAGCCCTTATAACAGTGTCTAAAACAGCTCTTGACACTAAGTAAATACTCTGCAAATGTTAGGTGAATGAAAGATAGATAAGAGATGCTTCACAGATACAGTATTGATTGGCCCTGAAGAGAGTGTCAAGTTCATGAACAAGGACAAAGTAAAATCAAAGGCACGGAGAATATTCAGTAAATGCATCCAGAGGCATGTGTATGTGTTGGGTATTTGTGTATAATACCCACCATTTATGTAAAAGCTATCATTTACTGGGGTATCATCATGTACCATCACTATACTGTAGATCATATGGCATCACTAACCATGGTTTAGGGCCGTGGTAGGCAAACCGTGGCTTGCGAGCCACATGCGGCTCTTTGGCCCCTTGAGTGTGGCTTTTCCACAAAATACCACGGCCTGGGTGAGTCTATTTCGAAGAAGTGGGGTTAGAAGTTTAAGTTTAAAAAATTTGGCTCTCAAAAGAAATTTCAATCATTGTACTGTTACTGTTGATATTTGGCTCTGTTGACTAGTGAGTTTGAGGTTTAGGGGATTCTGTTATGTACTTTGGGTTTCATCACTGCATGCATTTTACAGATGCTAAACCATGGCTGTCTTGAGGACATGGTGGTTTAATGGAGTCTCTCTGCTGATTCCTATGAAATTCAGCATCAGGCTGTGCTTGGTGCAACAATGAAAAAAAATTTTGTGTATGAAAAAAAAATATATTGAAAAAGGTATGCAAAGGAAAATAGACATAGATTTACATATGCAAAATGTTAGCTGGATTATCTCTTCATACTTTTCTATTAAATTTTTTTAAATCAGTAAAATTGTTATTTTAATAAATTATTTAAACACATTTATTTCCGCCCGGAATTATCAGGCATGATATGCCTGTTAAGCTGAAAAACCATCATGAGAATAAAAGAAGTTGTTTTTAATAGATATTCCATTAGTGTGAGTTCAGGAGTAACTTTGGATTTTTTTATAACCTACTATTTTATATTCTCATCATTTCAGATTTATTTGAAGTGGGATTAAAAAATAATAAATGTCGATTTTTATACATTGGGATAATTATCAATTGGCATACACAAAAATGTAGTAAATATATGGAGCATGTTAAATGCATTTCAATTATTATATAACTTCTTTAGGTTTTAAAGACAGCCACATTACTTACTATGCACTGGAACTTCAAAATTTTGTCCAACAATGAGACTTCCTCCAAACTGTAAGCCTCTCAGAGGATCTTGAAAAATCTCTTTTGGAAAAAGTCAGATGTGTGGTCTCCATAGTGAATCATAAAGCCAACAGCATTACTTGTTACTCTCTCTCTCTCTCTCTCTCTCTCTCTCTCTCTCTCTCTAATAAAAAGATTATTTAAAAAGGAATGGAGAAGAAAAAAAGGGAGGGAGGGAAGAAGACAGTACTGTTACTGTTTATTCCCCAGGGACAATATAAAATTAAGCAAAATAGAAGCTTCCTTGAATTTGCATGCTTTCACCAGAACAGAAGCTATATGACTTACACTTCCCTACAGTGGTCTCATGTGTAGTGAGAATTCAACTCACAGAGTGAGAAGTGGCGCTGGGCAGTCATCCGCCTGAAAGGCCTGACTCAGAGATGAGGACAGAGACTAAGTCCATTATCGTGCTCGAGGTGACCCACACTTTGACTGCAAACCCATGGTTAACTAAGCGGCCAGTATCTGCCTTTCAAAAAATTAGAGAAATAAAGTCAGCTATTCACACAGCTCATCCTTTTGATATATGAGAACCTCACTAGAGAAGAACTGAGCTATTTTTGGAGGGGATTAAATCCATTATGTCAAAGTCTTCTGGGATGATATTTTAACTTTTGCTTTCCCTGTTGTGATGGGGTACAGAAAGCAGGATTAATGCCTAATTCTATAGTTATTTCTATGTATGCAGTTAAGGTAGTCATTTATTTAACTATGTTCTCTCCAGACCTAGCTTTCGGCAACTTGAAAACAAAACACACAATCTAGCCATAGTTAATCCATCTTTCTATAGGGATAACCCCAGAGTCTTCTTATAGTTCCAGCAGGTGGTGGAGCTGGACTAACTGGGTTTGAATTCTGTGTCTGACATTGACTAGATAGATACTTGAACTTAGGCAAGTGAATTAATTTTGCATAAATTACTTAATCTCATCCTATCTTTGTTTCCTTATCTGTAAAGTAAAGATAATTTTAATACTTCTATCCTGCATTGTAAAGTACCTAGTGCAATGCCTTTCGCATAGTAAACATTCAATAGATGTTGACTATTGATAAATGCTCAAAAAAGTTATCATTGGAGAGATGTGTTAAGAGAAAAAGAAAGAATTGCTGTAAAGAAGAAAGCTTTTGATTCTTCTTCAAACCATCCCAACTCCTGTTATTTCCTACATGTCAGGAATTCTAGCATAATTTCTCCTGCTCATGAGGGGAAAAAAGAAGCCTAGCTAACTTTTTATAAAACAGCAGAACCCTACTGTCATATGCATCATAAGGCATGGTTTGCTCCAAAAACTTAGCACACAAATTTAGCTTCTTACCTCCCTCCCCCAATTAATAGAACATGTAAGTATCCATTTAAAAAATCCACTCTCCACCTTCGTCCAGGGGTTTACTCGGTGGAAAGGGGTCAGATCTCTTTCCAATGCCAAGTGGAGTGAGAAATGACCTTGCATTGCTTTATACCTCTTGTTGCTGCTCCTGCCCAGACACTGGCCACTCAGTGGCTGGGCCTGCAGATGCCGCAGGCAGCACCCAGTCAGGGCCCAGCTCCGGCTTCTGGCCTGGTGATTGGACTCTGTGACCAAGGTCATAGGACCAGCATCGCTCTCCAGGACACACATCTGCTGTGCGGGAGGTTGTGCTCATGGGCTGCTGCTTTCTGGCCAACCCAGCCCTCATTACAGATGGCAAGCCTTTTTCTTAGAACGTGGGTCATCCACTGGATATCACTTCTCCCTTTAATTACGGCCTATTTTCATTATTTGTTGTTTGTTTGTTTATTTATTCTCGGCCTCATCTCTGCCTCCTCCCCAGCTGCATCAGCTGTGGGGACAAAGCACCGCAGACGGGGATGGCTTAAAGAACATGGATCTGCAGGGAGCATGCCCAAGACCAAGGTGTCCACCGGACAGGTTGTTTCTGAGACTTCTCTCCTTGGCCTGCAGGTGGCAGGTTTCTCCCTGTGTTCTCACAGGGCCCAATCTCGAAATTCTGAAGTCCTGTGGGTTAGGCCTTCAACATTTGAAATTTGGAGGAGACACAATTCAGCATATAACACCAACTCTTATCTCCCTTTACTTAGGGTACAAGTTAACTTTTTATTTTTTAAATTCAAGATGGGGAGAAGGCGAGTTGGTGGAGAGGGAGAGAAGGGAAGGGAAAGAGAAAGACGTGTATACCCAGGGAGGTCTCTCTATACTGTTTTGTTTTTATATTTTTCCAAAACAGTGGGCACCCCATGCTTACCTTACCAAGGCAGCCACTTGAGAGGCTGTTCAGACACTTAAAGTGCACCCCACAAAGCTCAGAAGCCCCTGTACGACAGAGGTCCCCAGAGAAATCTAGTTGAAATGGGAGTGGGGGGTCTGGACCCCCTTTCTTCTCTTGTCACTGACCAGCATCCTGTAAGACCTCCTGCCTGGAGGTTTCCAGGTGTCCAGGCCCCTTCCTTCCTTTTCCGCAACTCACAAAAGATGAAATGGGTGAGTACATCATCTGAGGATCCTTAGCTTTGGAGACAAACTCTGTCACCAGGATTTAGTCCAGTGTCCCTCTGGAGCCCTGATGAGTCGGGCCACCATGGAGCCTGGGCTTGCGTGGCCTGCTTGCTTTTTCCTCTTTGCTTTTTTTTTTTGGAGATGGGCTTGTTGATCACCCCGCTCAGCTGTGGTACCCAAGCTAAGCTGAGAGAGGAGAGAGTTACATAAAGCCTCCCTGTGACCTGTGTACACACACCAAAGCCTGGTTCACCCCGGGCAGAGTGACAGGGACAGCTGCCTTCCACAAACAGAGGGAGTGCAGGGTTCAGTTCCGCAGCAGCCGCAGGGACGGAGTATATCATTACAGCCCGCCGCTCCGAGAGACACCATCTAACCTCACCGCCTGTCCCGGGGCCACGGCGGGGCGTCTCAGAGGACATCTGACCCAGACCCTCCGGGAGCTCCCTCCGCCCTTGACTGCCCGCCGCCGGCCTTTCCTCACCTCGGCCTGCGCTCCCCGCCCGCTGCCAGCCAGGCTTTCAGCAGCTGGGGTAGGACTCATCCCAACCTTTGGGCACCGGGGTGTGGGGAAAGGGTGGGGAGCAAAAAACAAATGGGGGCCAGACAGTCCAGCGCCGGTTCCAAGGACAAGGGCCCCAGGAGGACGGGGTGCCTGCGGAGGAGGCAGAAGCTGTCGGCGTGGGATGATGCCTTGCTCTCGGGGAGGGACCCCCGGGCCCTGCTGAAGCGGGGCATGCGCCACATTAGCTTCAGCCTGGTCACCAAGGGGATGACAGACGTCCCCGACTTCCTGTGGGGCCTGTCGGAGGTGCAGAAGCTCAACCTGTCTCACAACCAGCTGCGGGTGCTGCCCCCCGACGTGGGCAGGCTGAGCAGGCTGGTGGTGCTGAACCTGTGCGGGAACCACCTGAAGAGCCTGCCCCCGGAGCTCAGCCTCCTGCAGGGCCTGCGGGTGCTGTTCCTCAACATGAACCGCCTGAGCGAGCTGCCGGCCGAGCTGGGCGCCTGCCGGAGCTTGGAGGTCCTGAGCCTGTCCCACAATCGCCTCTCCCAGCTGCCCGCCGGCCTCGCTGACCTCTCCCGGCTCAGGAAGCTGAACCTCAGCAACAACTGCTTCGTGCACATCCCCGTCTGTGTGTTCGCCCTGAGGGAGCTGGATTTCCTGCACGTGGGCTCCAACCGCCTGGAGAACATCGCCGAGAGCATCCAGTGCCTGGGCAGCCTGCAGATCTTCATCGCCGAGAATAACAGCATCCACTCCTTCCCGCGCTCGCTCTGCCTCCTCGCCGGCCTGGAGGTGCTGAACCTGAACAACAACGACATCCAGACCCTCCCGGAGGAGCTCTACCTGCTGGGCAGGCTGGTGAGGATCGCCTGGAACCCCATGGACAAGGGGCTGCACATTTCCCATAACCCGTTAGCGAGGCCTCTGCCGGAGCTGGTGGAGGGGGGCCTGGAGATGCTGGTCAGCTACCTGAAGGACAAAAAGCACAACTGAGAGCCTGTGGAGGGAGGCAAGAACAGCAGCCAGCTCCCCCAGTTGCTGCCCAGTGGGTACTTCTCTAGCCTGAGCTTTCTCCTCTTACTGTTCGGTTGGTCAAGGTGTGTGTTAATATTTGCTAATTTGTAGTTGAATGGCATCCTAGGCAGGGATTTCTAGGCAGGGGTTTGGTGTGAACTCTGTATGTTCCTAATAACCCCCATAATATGTTCCCAATAACCCCCATAATCTGGTCGTAGCATACATGGAAACAGGACTTTGGTGTTCTCCAAAGAGAAATAATTGCTTGAATTTTCCTGAGGAGCAATGGGATTCGACCCTGGGAACAATGGTCAGCAGGTCTGATTCAATGGGATTCAGAAGTTAAATATTTACTAAGTACGTGCCAAGTATAGTATGAGGCATTGGCAACATCTGGTGTCAACCCTGGAATTGGCAACCTGAGGCCAGGTGGCAACAGCAAGACACGGTCCTGCACCAGCCTGGACCAAGCCTTACTTGGGACCAAAGGGCAAGCTGGAGCCCTGCCCTTCTGGCGATGACCAAGTTAGACAGAGCTTTCCCCCCAAGTTTGGGGGCAACGTGGGGCAGGGGAGGGATAATTGGAGGAAACTTGTCTCTAACATGACTGTAGAGTAACAATCAAGCTGCTCATGTTTACGTGTGGTGCTGAGTGACTGGCTCATGATGGCTTTTAGATAATAAAAACAACTCGATTTTAACCTGCAGTTTCAACCTTCTTTCCCAATCCTCTTGACCATAGTCATGCCCTGAGCTTTTCTATAGATGCCAGCCAATGCTTGTCATCCTTTCTAACTTCCCTTCTCCTTCCTTACTGGGTCTGCCCTCTCAGAGATGAGCTAATAATTGAGGGGGGGGGGGAATGGTCTAAAGGCAGGAAAAAGAAGGTAAGGCATAGACAAGTCACACAAAAAATGTAATTGCTTTTCTAACATTCAGGAGAGGGCGATATTTGCCACTTGGCTTTCACTTATGGGCATTTAAAAATGACTTCGGTGACATTTTTAAAAGCTCTTTGGACAAAAGGCTGTAAACTATTACATTTGCTTTTAATTATAAACATGTACGGCTGTTAATTAAATGTGGTAGCAGGACAAGCAATGTTAGAGTCCCTGCCACAAGGGTCATTGGGTCTTCCTGTTGTCCCAGTAGCCGAGAGCCCTTGAAACATCTATGATGTATTGAGAGCTGAAGGATTAGAACGAAGAGGTGGCAGTGAAGAAAGTACAGCACCCACACCCACAGATCAATGGCTAGCCCACTGTTCAAGTGTCTTGGCACTTTTGACTGTAGAATATGGCTAACCATTTTGAGACAGAATTTGGGTTTGCTGCCAAGACCTGTCTAACTTCTTAATACCCTTGGCTTAATTCCGTTAAATTTATATTCCTTAGCACCTTCTTTTCGCTCCCCTTCACCGGGAACCCGAGAGGAGGAAAGCCCTGCTCCTTCTACCAAGGAGCCCACAATGTGGTGAAAGGTACAGAAACCCACGAGGGATCCTGTGATGTGCAGCAAGCCGAGATCCCCCTCAAGAGAAATGGAAGTGATGGGCTGGAGGGAGGGCAACACACTGGATGGTGTAGACTAGACCAAGCTCCAAGATCTCAATAAACAAAGAACAATAACTAAAACAACAACAACAGCAACAACAACAAAAAAACAGGACTGGGAGAAATCAGTCAAACCCTTATCCCCTGCAGCCATTGCATCCTAACTCCTTCCCCTCCTCCCTTTATTCCCTGTGGGAAAGTGCAGCAAAGGGCTGGGGCACTGGGTCCGAGCATAGGCAGGTTTAGTAGGGAGCTGCCATTTTCTAAGAGCTGCTCAAAGAGGGTCCAGACCATTTATTAATATCACAGGTGATTTTCCAAACAGACTTCCAAGTCCATTTCCCACTCATAAAAGACCCAAGTCAATTCCCGTGGTTATCATCAGATACTATAGGTCATTAGCACATTTGCGCAGGAGCTCTCTGTCAGACCGTTGCAAACAGAGCTTACCATGTCACCGGGCAGCAGCTGAAGTCCCCTCTTAAGTTCCCCCTCCAGCAGCAACCGGAGCCCTGGCTCTCCCTGCCAGGCACACACGGGCACACTGCCGGATCTTCACCCACGTTAGCTTGCTAGAGCCAAGACTATTTAAAGACATTAAAGACATCAGTGGAGTTTTCACTTGACCTCATGACTCAGAGGGAAATTGCAGTGCAGAACCCGGCGGATCACTTTCTGAGCGCTGGCTGAAGCACAGGCAGCTGTCAGACAGACACCGGCGGGTGCCAGATCACGCCTGTTCGTGGTCGCTGCTGAAGAACCGCTTGGGCTCCCGCCGAATTTCCATGATCTTGCTGTGGGCGGAGAGGGTGGCCGGGACAGCGGCACCGCACTTCTCCTGCTGAGCAATCATTTAATTTCCTCTCCTTGCTTTTCCAGTCACTTGACTCCGCAGTAACTTTACTCCAGAAAAAGAACTTAACCATGTATTGAAAGCTACCCAAGAGCTCATTATACTCTTTATGTGAAAAAGAAAAAAAAAAATGTTATCAAGTTAGTGTCAGGCTTCCATTGGTGCTTTTCAAAAGTATAGCAGCAAAGTTTTCTTCGTTGATACTTAGCATTGAGGGAATCTTAAAGGCAATAGTCGTTGCCTAATGTTCTGTAGGTAGATACTGATTCTTTGGGAATGGCCCTTTTTATTGATAAAGGGAAGTGCTGAGTATAATCTTAGTGATGCAAAACAGTAACACGGATGGAGTTTGAGACTGCCTTCAGTGTTTCGCTGTCAAACTCTATAGTTTGCTGATTGACTGAGGTGCTTCTTTTGTATCTTGTTGTAGTTCACATCCTGCCACGTTCAAATAACTCCCAGGTATTTCTAAGGCTTCTGAAACCGAAGCGCTGGAGATGACTGCATCGGCTGCGGAATAAATTTACCCAAAGAATACCAGCTAATTGGGAACTTGATGCGGGAGCTTGATGCGGGAGCTGGCTGCTCGCAATCTTGATGATTCTGTGGTTTTCATGTCACTTGGCTCTTGGGACAGAGCAATCTCAGTGGTGTGTTCACTTGTAAGTGGTAGCTTACAAGCACACAATTAAGAAGAAATCCTATGTTCCTAGGAAAGAAAGACGACTTTGAAAAGACACATCTGTTCCAGGAATAATACTGCTAAATGCATAAAACTGATGCATATTAGAAAGAAAAATGTAGTCATTACTTAGCTTGTCGACTTAATAAACGGTTAATAAAGAAATGTACTCCATTCTCAGGCTTCAGTTAATAGCCTGCCTTTCTGTAACAACCAAAGATAGAGTGGCTTCAGGACTCTGCACCTGTACTTCACAACGATGTCTTGTTCATGCTGAAAAGGGATACAGAGGGAATGCTGCCACTATTTGCAAGGATACATTAAACAAAATCCTTTTCTTTCGGTAATGGATTATTGCATTTTAAAATTCATATGCTTCAAAGCACCTACCAAATATGCATTTGATAGCTGTACATTAAAAATGAGGAAAATTAAAGAACCGTGGACTGGGTTGATTCATTTCAGTAATATACTGAGACTAGGGGGAGTCTGAATGGAGTCACTGATATTCCATTACAAATGGTGAAAAACAGAAGATGAGTTCAGGAAAAAAAAAATCTGAGCTGTTAGATTTAGCCAATATGAAGTTACTAAATACTCAATGATTCCATCTATATCTACTTCAGTAACCACATGTGCTCTATCTTCTTACTCCATCAAAGAATGATTTTCAGTTCTGTGTAACTTATACTTGAGAAACAAAATATCCAGCCTAGATTAAATGTGTATCTAGGTAACAGTACCCTTGATGGTGCAACGAAGTACTAGTACTAGTTATAATTCATCCAAGAACAGCAAAATACAACTCCACCAGATATTTTAAGAATACAAAATAAAATACAGAGAAAGAATAAAGCTATTGTAACAGTAATGGGAACAATTTTGACCTTGTTGAGAAAAGAACTTCTTACAAGTGTTCCTTTTAAGTTACTTGTCAAGTTACATGCTGAATCCAAAGCATTACTAATTTAAAAAGAAAAGGACAGCATAGTAATAAAAGGGAAGCAAAGAGGGCTTCTAACAAATCTGTCGGAGCGGGGCATCATTAGGAACACATAATTGAAAGCTATTAGCATGAGGCTTGCTATGCAGATTTTTTTTTTTTTTTTTTAGTAGTGCCATAGGAATCTCCTTGTGAGGAGAGAGCTTATTTCCTACTGCATCTAGACTTATTCCTTATTTCAGCACAAGACAGAAAATAAAAGATTAACTGGAGTCCATTTGAAAAGTGTCGAAGTATTTTCCGATACCCTTGTGAGAAACATGCATTATGAAAGCTAGGAGACTATTGACTGTGATGGTATGAGCTAGAGCTCCCAGTGGAACACCACATAATCACCCACCTTCTTTGCTTTTGAGTGATTTGAGTTTCCTAGAAGTCAGGGTGCCAGGACATGCCTTGGGGAAGCCTATTTTCTGTCTCTGGAACATCATGCATGAGGTAAGAGCCCTATGGGATGACATGAAAAGCTTCCAGCATAGCATTCCCTGAGTATCTGTGTATCCTAAGACGGTGTAGGTGTTGGGGACTTGGCTTGTGAACTAGCTCCCATCCTCCATAGGGCCTTAAGTCCATGGACAAAGAAAATGAGGCTCAGCTAAACATAATGCAATTCCATGATTACAACTGCCTTAACAGTTGCATAAGCTGTTTGACTTCGTTGATTTGATTGATTTAAAACTCCTATGTTTTTGGAAGAGAAAGAATTCCTAATTATTTTTTTAAAAAAAACCTTATTGGATTTGATTCAATAATATTTGGGAACATAGAGTTTAAATCTTTCCTGTGTTTTTTTTTTTTTAAAAAGAGCATAACATGTTCCAAAGAGTGAGTTGAGCTCTTGATCTGAATCACTCATTTCTCTCCTATTTAAGCAGAAGCAAACAGCTTTCTTTCAAAACTAATTAAATATATCCTTTATTTTGGCTTTATCTCATATTCTCTCCCCAGGCATAGAAGCACCATAAAGTCATGCACAAGGAGGAATTATGGTGCTTCCCATTCTTACTCTTACATGTGGGGAAGAAACTGCCTCATGCGTTATACATGATGGTCTGTTTTCACACAAGTCACTGAGAGAGGTCTCCCTTTCTGGGATCAATGCATGATGTGAGCCATTGTTTCTTTCTTTTTTTTTTCCTTTCTTCCTTCCTTCCTTCCTTCCTTCCTTCCTTCCTTCCTTCCTTCCTTCCTTCCTTCCTTCCTTCCTTCCTTTCTTTCTTTCTTTTTTTTTTTGGCAAAGGATATTTGAAAAAAGGTAAAACACAATGTCGAATAGTTCTGAAAAACAAAGAAAAAGTTCTATTGGTATGTACGTGCACATATTTCTCCCACACATTGGTCAGATAATCCGTTGTTCATTCATGTTCTGCTAATTCAAGGGCTTTTGAATAGATTCGATACTCCTACCTTGAACTGCAAAGAGCTCACAGAATTTTATCTCCACACTGTGAAATTATTTTCCCCACATGTGTTTTGATGATGACAGGCTTTTTCCCTTCTTGCAGTTCCTCCTCCTTCAGGGAATAGAAATGTAGGGAATAATTTCTGATTTAATATTTGTCTTCCTACCCACATATCGTTACAGTTTAAAAATTGTCTACAAACTTGCAAACAACTTACTTTCAATCTATACTTTGGGAAAATGAGAGACAAAGAGGAAGAGAAATAAGAACCTCTTAAAATAATACATCTGTGAATATATATAAAATATTCGGAGGAAAAGATGATTCACTAATTCTATTGTATAGATCTACATCTGT